GATGAATAGAATAAGATGGAGCCGAGTGTAGCCAACTGGCCATAGTTGACCAGTGCTATACCGATACAATGGGCCAGTCCTTCCGTACAAAGAAAGCCGCCGATCATTATGCCGATATACCATAGGAGACGGTCGGACGGATCAAGCGATTGGCCGCTTAATAGATAGACAAGTGTGGCGTATCCGGTGGCCATTAGTATAGTCATAAAAGTTTCGGTTAATGATTTGCCCCAGAAATAGGCACCCGTACTATACCAGCCTATTATATATATATATATATATATGCACTTAAATATAGATTATGTAAATTTTATCATTAATATATTTTTTTAAATTAAATAAATTTTACTATTTTTTTTGAATACAATATATGTTTTGGACACTCAATATTATATCACATAATATACTGTATCAATAGTATAATAATAATATAATTTAATATAAAGTTTATTAATACTAGTAACTACTTAATATTTTTTTTAAATATATATATTTTTTTCTTATTAACTGTTTAGTTATAAATAGTTATTACTGGCAATAAACTGTTTATCTATATATATATATATATATAGTAAAATATGATTAATTATTATGATATTCTATATTATGTATATAATATGTTAATAACTAAAAATAAAATAAATACTAACTGTTATAATGTTCGCTAATAAATATTTTGATGTCAACCAAATAGACCTGACATGTAGAGGACAGGTGTATAAACTGGAAGACAATGCCGGCAATAAACAATAGATTCGGATTCTGGAAGATAAGCGAATCGTTTTCCAATGCCTCCACACATGTCGTACCATTGGATAGGGCTATCCTAATGGGATCGTAACAGGCGTCAGGTTTGCCAACATTTTCGTTAAACATCGACACCAGTATCAACGGGAATAGAGTATAGATGGCAAACTGTACGGCCAATTGTTGCCATTGGGCCAGAAATATCATATAAGCTGTTCGATGCATAACATGCCAGACATCCCACAATCGGAACCTTTTCGGTCGCAATTCAATACCGTTAGGACTTTCCAGTAAATCGGACTGATTTTGCTGGACAGTACTCAACACCGATAGTCTAGATGTTTCTCTAGTTTTATCTAACAGTTCACCAATATGTTCCTCCTGTGACAGTTCAATTGATGCTAACTTCAACAGTTGTTCGATGGGCACCTGTACCAAATCGCATATAATGTTACACTCATCCAGATAACTGTCTACCTGTTCAGGTGGTCCATCGAAAATACAGTTCCCACCTTTTGCCAATACATAGAGTTTATCAAACGAGTAGACAATTTCGTTGTTGGGCTGATGTATACTAGTAATGATGGCTATCCTATGCAGTCTACCTATACTTTTCAAACACTCCATTACCTGAATTTTTTCAAAAAAAATAAAAATTAATTAATTTACCATTTTTTGGGGGAATTTTAATGTTTTATTTAAAAAAATATGTAAATATAATAACAATTATTATTAGAAGATTATTACGATCTCAAAGATATCAAAATTAGATAACTAAATATAATTTGAGTATTAAATTAAAAAAAATTATTTAAACAATTTAATTTTTACAATTAAATATGATATATGTGTACACAATAATTAAAATGTTATAGTTTAGTTTATTTAAATCAGTATATTTTTGATGTTGTTATAAATATTAAATATCATAATTATAATAACAACTATACAGTTATTTCTAACTAAAATACTAATAATATATTTTTAGTGATATAAAAAATATTAGTCTTTTAAAAATAGTCTTTATATAATAAATAATAATTTATTATTATGCAAACAATATAAAAAAATATTAAAAATTATTATAATGATAATTATCATTGATAAATTTAAATAAAAATTATAAAAATAGTTTTAAAAAATTATATTGATCAAAGTTAAACATGATATATAATCAAATTAAAAAAATAATATTTTTTTCTATTTATAAATATTATAATATGGCTAAATTAATTTTCATTAAATAGGATTACTAGAAAATTATTAATAATCTTTATTAATATTTTTAAAAAAATTAAAAACTTAATTATAAATTGCATATAACAAAAATTACATTTTAAAATTTAATATTTTAATACAATTATTTTTTATAATAGCGATAAAAAATAAATAATAATATACATACGGCACAGGCAGTCACACTGTCGAGACCAGTGGTAGGTTCATCAATACACAAGACATTAGGCTTAACCAATTTGGTCATTTCGACGGCAATGGTCAGCCGTTTTTGTTGACCACCCGAACACTTGGCCACTATTGTATTGGCAATACCATCTATGGTCAGCTCACGGAGCACTTGACGCACATTTTCTTCATGATCTATAGGTTGTCCTCTTTCTAGTCCAGTGTTCTTCAATTTGGACGCATATAACATATTCTGTCGGACAGTCAAACACATAATCAGGTGTTCCCGGGCGTGTTGGCCAACAAAACACGATTTAATTGGCTGGCGGCGACTCAGGTATATCTTGGAGTCGGCCGATAGTCCACCCATTGATAGCCTTCCGTTCAGACATTTCAATAGTGTTGTTTTGCCGGCACCTGAAGGTCCCATTAGGGCTACAATACTACCGAATTCGGCCGAACCGTACAGTTGATTGAGTATTGTTTTTTCCGCTGGACTACTGGTGCACATTTGCCACCGGTTCCTGACTGTGTAGGTCAGGTTTGACCAACAAATAGCCACATCTGATGTCGACATAATTATTATAATTAGTGTTAGCTGTTTAACAATAGTTTCATTAATATATTTAGAAATTATAGTTTAATAAATAAATAATTTAATAATAATTACATAATTTTCATATAAAGCTTATATATACTGATATATAACACACACCCACACAGATACACACACATACACACACACACACACACACACACACTAACATACATACATACACACTATTTTTATTTATTTGATAACCTTCATAATTATTACAATAAAATTTATTTTTTAAAAAAATATATACAATAATTAATTATTTTAATTTATTTTAATTCTTAAAAATTTATATTTAGCATATGTTTTAAAATATATATATATATTTATATATAATTTTTATATTATATAATTTTTTTTGTTTATATGATAATATAAATTAACATAAGTAAGCCATAAATTTTTTATTTTATTTATTTTTTAAATATTTTTGGTACAAATATTTAATTATTACAACATCTATAGCTTTTGTAGTTATTTAGTTTTTATAAGTAAAATTAATTTTTATGCTTAATTTAGTTAGTAATCAATGTTATTTAAATTACTATTTTTTTTTTTAAATAAAATATTAATAAATTTTTAAAAATGCACCTAAAAATTAATATTCATAACATTATACAGTATTAATACACCGGTATATACTGTTTGTAAAAAAAAACTTTAACTATTTTAGATGCAAAACATTTTTATTTTAAGTGCAAATTTTATTTTTTGTATTTTAAGTGCAAAACTTAAAAATTAATTAGATTTTCAAAAATATTAATTTGAATAATTTAATTATATATATTGAAAAACGATAAATATCTAAGTATTAGTTTTTTTTTGTTGATAAATGTAAGTAATTTATTCAAATTAATAATTTTATTTATTTATTGTTTTCATTCATTATATATTATTTTATTTTTTGTTTTGTTTTACAATCTAACAATTTAATTGCAACTAGAAATTATTGATTTTGCAATGCTATAATGTAAAAAAATAATTAAATATTTATTAAATACATTATCATATTTTTAAAAAAAAAATAAACTGTAAAATTAAAATTGCGAAACATTTTTTTTGAATTAATTAATTTATATGTATAACTTGCACTAATATCAACCATCACTAATATAATAAAATTAATATAATTATTTAATAGATATAAATACAAAAAAAATGTTAAAAATTTAAAATAATTAAATGAATTAATTATTAAACCAAAAATTTTAAACAAATGCATTGTATAATATTAATAGATGATATTTAAATTATTGCTAAATAAATAAATAAATAACAAAATAATTTCAATTAGTAATAAAAACAAACAACAAATAAATAGTTTTTTTTAATTACCATTTAGGTGTTCATTGAAAAATATTATTTAACAAAAATCTGCCCAATAGTTAAAATGTAGTCAATAATCACATATTGTGTTTAGACTGTGTGTATATCTATGTATATGTGTTTGTATGTATGTGTGTGTGTGTGTGTGTGAATGTGTGAGTGTGTGAGTGTGTGAGTGTGTGAGTGTGAGTGTGTGTGTGTGTGTGTGTGTGTGTTTGTTTGTTTGTATGTATGTGTGAGTGTGTTGTGTGTGTGTGTGTGTGTGTATGTGTGTGTGTGTGTGTGTGAATGTGTGTTTGTTTGTTTGTATGTGTTGTGTGTGTGTGTGTGTGTGTGTGTGTGTGTGTGTGTGTGTGTGTGTGTGTGTGTGTGTGTGTGTGTGTATTTACGTGTTTGTGTGTGTGTGTGTGTGTGTGTGTGTGTGTGTGTGTGTGTGTGTGTGTGTGTGTGTGTTAGACTGATTGTTAACCTGTATATAACCATATACTGTACAACATATACTTAATACTATAAATATCTCTGCTGTTTATTTTTTTTGTATATAAATTATATATTTATTTTTATTTTTGCAAACAATTGTATAAATAAATAAAATACTTTGAAACTATTTTAAAATACTATTTACAAAAAATAAATGTCTAAAAAAATTAATTAATATGTTTTGCAATAAATTTTTATATATACAGTGTATTGATATGCATGTAATTCAATACATTTGCATCAATAAACATATGGATTAATTGATAGCCATTTATTAAAAACTGGAAAAAGTAATAGATTTTTTTTGAAATATTAATTTAAAATAAAATATTTTTATTTTAAATATATTGAAAAACAACTTAAAAAAAACTAAAGTAAAACATTTTTATTAGTTTTTATTTTTTTTTAATTAAGTAAATTAACTTTGAAACTTTATTTTAACTTAATATAATTAGCAATTATTATTATGTAATTAATTTTGTTTGTTCCCCCAAACCCCCCTCACTTAGATCCCGCCACCCTTTTTCATATAATCATATACCGATCGCAGCACTCGCTTCCTCGATAGATACCGCCGGGCATATAGATTAATGCCCGCAGAAATTCATGACCACCGGGACTTAGCGATGATAACTGTTGGCCACTACTACTACCACCACTGGCATCAGTGCCGCCACAGTTGCCGTTGTTGTTGTTGCAGTCGTGTGCAGTCCAGTCGTAGATCAGTTGTACGATTTGTTTGTCCAATTGGCCAATCTTTTCGGCTACAATCAACTGTGCCTCGGGTAATGAACACTGGCGTTCAATGGCAATCATGGCCACAGTGTTGGTCAACTGTTTCATGGCCTCATATTCTGTATGGTTAGCAGAATCGGTCGACGATAGTATAGTATAGCCGGTGCCGATGTCGATGTCGTTGACATCATTGCCATTAGTGGTAGTAGTAGTAGTAGTTGTCGTTGTCTTCAATATGGTTTTAACGCCGTTTACTAACTCTTTTTCAAACGAAAATATATCGTTTGTATGAATACAGTAATCGACAACTAATGAGACCAACTGTTTCATACGCGGATCAGACCAGTCGCGCTCCGGTAGGTCTATATCGAGGCCATAGGTAACAGACAATAGTGTCGGTTTTAGGCCAACTGTTTTGCGGCGAATCTATATATATAGATATATATGAAACACACAAAAAATATATGATTAATAAATCATTACAAAGACAGACACATATACATACATACATATATACAATCATAGCACACATATAAGTTACATACAAACACACACACACACACACACACACACACACACACACCTACACATCCATATCCCGGCTATATATATATATTACCCGTAATTTTTCGTCAAACGAAGCAAACCGACCACCGTTTTGGCGAAGTATTTCCGTTTCCTCAATATTTCCGGCGGCAAACTCGAGTCTCGCGCTGACAAATCGTGTCCACTGTTCGGCACTCATTTGCCTGAAGTATGTCTGAAATGTCGGTATAATAGCCCCGATAAACGGCTCCATACGATCAACAGGCAACGTATTCGGGTTTGATTGATGGCCACTGGCGGCCACTGCAAACATACTGGTCATCTGTGTCCAAACCAGACGACATTTGTCCATTTGCTGGCCGTTGTGTTGACGCCACGATTCTTCGGTGTGATCGTCCATTAGAAACGTAAAGATCGTGTCCTGTAACATATGATAGTAACTGTCCTCCGATGTTAGAGTCGGATAATAGTAGGACATAATTGAATTGGCAACCATTACTATATTGTGATAGTTTTTGGCCGATATCTGACTCGTAGGGAACTGTCTGTACGACCAGTCGGCCAATGTTTCCGAATCGATAGTTAAGTCCAATGGATTGCGTTTGAATGGCAATCGGGTCGTAAATTTTGGTAACGGATATTTCAGGGGATATTGACGTAACTGTTTATCGCATCGATTGTGTGCAACATATCATAGGTTATTATAATTATCATTATTATTAGTTGCCATTATTACTACTACTACTAGTAGTAGTAATAATACAATTATTTTTTTTGTTTAGCGATTTATTAGTTGAATTTATATCAAATTAAAAAAATTTAAAAACAAAATTAATTATTATTTTATAATTATATTTAATATTATTCAACAATAACAACAACAACACAAAAAAAATTGCTAATAACTTACACAATATATACTAAAGTGGAGGTTATTTTATAATTTTTTTGTTGATTTCCCCAATAGTTTCCTAGTATTCCCATCAAAAATAAATAAATAAAAATAAAATATTTTATCATATTTTTTTCGGGTAAAATTGATTGGGATTTTATTTTAGGGAACTTTCCCTACAATGAGAAACTGTTTTTCTACCAGAATTTTAGTATAAATATATATTTTTAATTATATTATAATATAAAAAAATATAAGTTATAATTTTTTTTCTAAAAAAAACACACATATGATTTATTATTTACTGGTTTAGTAAACAACAAATAATTAATTAAAAACAAAAACTTAAAAACATATTTTTAAAAAATTGAATCAAAAAATAAGTTACACACAAAAATATGTTTATTTATTTAAAAGTATAATAAAATTTTACTAAAAAATTCAATTAATTATTGATAAATAATAATAATAATAATGTAATCATTTTTGTTTGCTACCCTAACCCCCCACCCCCACCTCTACCCCACCATTTACATATAATCATATATCTATCGCAGGCACCGCTTGAACGAAAGATAGCGCCGGGCATATAGAGTAATGCCCGTACAAATTCAATGCCACCGGGACTTAGCGATGATAATCGTTGGCCATCACCACCACAACCATCATCACCACTGCCACAACTGCCGTCCCTCTCATCATCAACAGTGCAGTCGCCATTGTTGTTGTTGTTGTTGTAGTCATGAGGTCCGGCAGTCCAGTCGTAGACCAGTTGTATGATTTGTTTGTCCAATTGTTCGATATGTTTGCCGACAATCATCTGAGCCATAGGTATCGAACATTTGCGTTCAATGGCAATCATAGCCACAATGTTTGACAACTGTTTCAATGCCTCCCATTCTGTATGGTTATCATTGTTGGTCAATGATTGTATAGTAATACCTGTGCCTATGCCGTACGTGATGTTGGTGTCGCCGACATTGACATTAGTGGTAGTAGTAGTTGTCGTTGTCTTCAATATGGTCTTAATACTAGTTATTAACTCTTTTTCAAACGAAAATATATCGTTTACATAAATACAGTAATCGACAACTAATGAGACCAACTGTTTCATACATGGGTCAGACCAGTCGCGCTCCGGTAGATCTATATCGAGCCCATAGGTAATAGACAATAGTGTCGGTTTTAGGCCAATTGTTCTGCGGTGAATCTATATATATGACACACTAAATATATAAATCATATAAAAGACATTGACATACACACACACATACACACACACACACACCCGGCATACTTTACCCGTAGTTTTTCCTCTAATGAAGTAAACCGACCGCCGTTTTTGCGAAGAAGTTCCGTTTCCTCAATGTTTGCGGCGGCAAACTCTAGTCTCGCGCCGACAAATCGTTTCCACTGTTCGGCACTCATTTGCCGAGAATATGCCTCAAATGTTGGTATAATAGCCCGAATAAACGGCTCCATCTGATCGACTGGCAATGTGTTTGGGTTTGATTGGTGGCCATTGGCCACTGCAAACATACTGATATGTTGTGTCCAAACCTCACGGCATTTGTCCATTTGCTGACCGTTATGTTGACCCCACGATTCTTCGGTATTGTCGTCCATAATAAATATAAATATCAAGTCCTGCAATAAATGATAGTAACTGTCCTCAGAGGTTATGGTCGGATAGTAGAAGGCCATCAATATTTTCGAAACCATAACTACATTGCGATAGTTTTTGGCCGATATCTGACTCGTAGGGAACTGTCTGTACGACCAGTCGGCCAATGTTTCCGAATCGATAGTTAAGTCCAATGGATTGCGTTTGAATGGCAATCGGGTCGTAAATTTTGGTAACGGATATTTCAGGGGATATTGACGTAACTGTTTATCGCATCGATTGTGTGCAACATATCTTAGGTTATTATTATTATTATTTGTCATTACTATTATTATTAGTAGTAGTAGTAGTAGTAGTAGTAGTAGTAGTAGTAGTAGTTTTATTATTATTATTATTATTAAACAATTATTATTTTAGCAATTTATTTTTATTATTATTAATATTTATATTTTTTTTAAATATAAAACAACATATACAGATGTATATATATATATACAAATATATACAATATATACAATATATATACAATAAATACAAATGTATATATAGAAAAAAAGTTTACTTTTATTCCCAGTAGAGAAATAAAAATATTTTCCAATTGATTGGGATTTAATTTTAGAGAATTTCCCATAAATGAGAATTTGTTTTCCCCAAAACTTTATATATATATATATATTACAAATTGTAATTTACAATAATAACAATTTATTTAAACATATTAATATAAATGTATAAATTTTATTTAATAAAAACACATATGATTTTTTTATTAGCAATTTTAGTTAGCAACAGTATACGAAAAAAAAAATTATTAATTAAATAATACTTTTTAAAATATTAAATTTAAAAAAATAAGTTATACAAAATGTTTATTTATTTGAAATTCAATACTCAAAACAATTTAATAGTTTAAATAATCATTTTTTTGATAAATAATAATAATTATTATTATGAAATCGGTTTTGCTTGATATCTCTCTACCCCCTCCCCCCATTTCCCACTCCTTTTCAAATAATCATATACCGGTCACAGACACCGCTTGAACGAAAGATACCGCCGGGCATATAGAGTAATGCCCGAACAAATTCAATGCCACCGAGACTTAGCGCTGATAACCGTTGGCCATCACCACCACAACCATCATCACCATCACTGCCGTCTCCATCATCGTCATCATTATCAGTGCCGCCGTCATAGGCATGACGTCCGGCTGACCAGTCGTAGACCAGTTGTATGATTTGTTTGTCCAAATGTTCGATATGTTTGCCGACAATCATCTGAGCCATAGGTATCGAACATTTGCGTTCAATGGCAATCATAGCCACAATGTTTGACAACTGTTTCAATGCCTCCAATTCTGTATGCTTATCATTATTGGTCAATGATTGTATGGTATGACCGGTGCCGATATCGGTTCCGTTGGTGTCGCCGTTGATGCCGTTGGTGTGACCACTATTGCCATTAGTGGTAGTAGTAGTCGTAATAGATGTCGTTGTCTTCAATATGGTTTTAATACCAGTTATTAACTCTTTTTCAAACGAAAATATATCGTTTGCATAAATACAGTAATCGACAACTAATGAGACCAACTGTTTCATACGTGGATCAGACCATTCGCGCTCCGGTAGGTCTATATCGAGGCCATAAGTAACAGACAATAGTGTCGGTTTTAAGCCAACTGTTCTGCGGCGAATCTATTTATATATATAAAATTATATTTTTATATGTCAAACAAACAAAAATAAATAAATCATATAAAAAACTAGATCTACATACATAAATATATATATATAAACACACATACACACACATATACAATATATATACACACACACATACACACACACATACACACACACACATACACATATACATACACAGATACAAACACACATAAACACAAACACACATACAAATACATACACACAGACATGCATACATATACACACACATACACAGACATACACACATCTACACACACACACACACACACATCTACACACACACATACACACATCTACACACACACACACACACATCTACACACACACACACACACACACACACACACACACACACAGACACACATACATATACAAACAAATACACAGACACACATACATCTACACACACACACACACACACCCGGCATTCACTACCTTTAGTTTTTCCTCTAATGAAGTAAACCGACCGCCGTTTTTGCGAAGAAGTTCCGTTTCCTCAATGTTTGCGGCGGCAAACTCTAGTCTCGCGCCGACAAATCGTTTCCACTGTTCGGCACTCATTTGCCGAGAATATGCCTCAAATGTCGGTATAATAGCCCGAATAAACGGCTCCATCTGATCGACTGGCAATGTGTTGGGGTTTGATTGGTCGCCATTGGCCACTGCAAACATACTGATCTGTTGTGTCCAAACCTCACGGCATTTGTCCATATGTTGGCCGTTATGTTGACCCCACGACTCTTCCGTATTGTCGTCCATAATAAATATAAAGATCAAGTCCTGCAACAAATGATAGTAACTTTCCTCAGATGTTAGGGTCGGATAGTAGAAGGCCATCAATATTGTCGCAACCATTACTACATTGTGATAGTTTTTGGCCGATATCTGACTGGTCGGGAACTGTCTGTATGACCATTCGGCCAGTGTCTCGGCATCGATAGTTAGGTCCAATGGATTTCGTTTGAATGGCAATTGTGTTATAAACTTTGGTAACGGATATTTCAGGGGATATTGACGTAACTTTTTGTCGCATATATTGTGTGCCATAAATCTTATCTTATTATTAACATTATTATTATTATTAGTCATTATAATAATAATTATTAGTAGTTTTAGCAACAAATAAAAATAAAATATAACTTAAATAACAATATATAATATTAACAATAATAAGTATAGTTAGACTGAATGTTAGACTAACTTATCTGAATGTATGTATAAGTATTAAATATATAATTTTATATATGATATACCGGTATATGTCTAGTGAACACTGTATTAGCCAATCTAGTAATATAATGTGTGTGTGTTTTGTAAAAAAATTTCTATATATAAGGTTTCTATCAAATTTTCTACTTAATTCCCAAAAGTTATCTATACAATATAAAGTCAAATTTTAGTGCAAGTTTTGAATTATTGTAATAATAATAATAATATAAAACTTAATTTTTCCATATTTTAATCTAACGATAAATAAGAAAAAATAAATAAATAAAATTTTTTCCCATATATTCATTTCCGGGATTTAATTTGGGAACTTTCCTTCCATAAAAAAAGTTTTTCTCCAAACTTTAGATTATATTACATATACATAATATTAAATAAATTAAAGTTATCAAAAAAACATGTGATTTTATTTTAGTGTTTTAATTAATTGCATTCAACCGGAATACAGAATTTAATTTCAAAAAAAAAAAATTTAAAGTCATATTTCAACATATCATAGAATTTAATATATTTTTTTTGTAATTTAAACATATATTTCAACATTTTTTTCAATAAAAAATTCCATAAATAATATTTAATTATAAATTACTAAATCAAAAAAAAAACTTATTTAATTGTTATATTATATTTTTATTTTAATTTTTTGTTTTATAATTCAAAGAACAAAGTGAACATTACTTTAAAAAAATAGAAATTTTACAATAAAATTTTATAACTATTGATATACTGTTAATATAATAAATAATAATATAATTTTATATGTTTAATGTGTGTATGAAAAAGTCAATTATAGATAATATCAATATAATATAATTTATTATATTTTTTAAAAATTTAATATTAGATCAATAAAATAAGTTCATTTAGGTTTTTTGTAAAAGTATTTAAACTAATAATTAGCTAATGATTAGCTAATAATTTTTTCTTTAGTTGATGACGTTATTTGAGTTAATTTTATGTATTTTAATATACAATAAAAATATTTAAGTATTATTATTATTATTACTATGAGATATACATTGAAACTGAATGTTAAAAAATGATAAAATCTGTTATAATAATAATAATAATAAGGCCGTTATACTATATATTAAGTTCAAAATATTTTTTAGTCATAAATAGGTTATTTAAATAAAATAATTTGTTTTAATGTTAAAAATATTTGAAGCAAAAACATACACACATACACAAGCATATATATACATACACATACACACACATATATATATATATACACATAATAATAATAATATTAAAAATAATAAAGTTTATAGTTTTTTTATATATTATATATTGCTTTACAACTAATAATAACTTTTAGATTTATTTCAAATCTATTTTCATATACATATGGTGTTAAGATTATGAAATATTTATTTTATATTAATAATTATAATATTTAGTAAAATGATTGATTACTCATTTAATTATAAAAAAAAATCTTCTATCGGTATGTAATATAACTACAATCTACTAATAATTTCGGTTAATTGATGACGTTAATTGAAAAAAAAAATAATTTTTATATATATGTAATATAAATATTTTTACATGTTTGTAATTTTTTTAAAAAAAAGTATTATTATTATGTAATATGCACTGAAATTTAATCTTTAAAAAAACTATATATAATATTATAAATTATAGGTTAGATATTTTTTTCAGTTAATAAATTGGTTATTTAAATTTTTAATTTTTTTTCATTGAGCAATCATTTAAATAAAATTATTTTTTAAACAACAAAAAAAATATTAAAAATTATTATAAGATACACAAAATATAAGTACATATAGTTAGTAATCAAAATAAAGAAATAACTAATTAATTAATATAATAATAATAATCACAAATATAACATAGAGATCACACAAATATAATATTTATTATAGCAATTACAAACAAAAAATCAAAAAAAAAAATTATTAACAATAAATAAATGTAAATAATTTTTATTCATTGATATATAGACTTTAGAAATAGTAATAATAATAATATTGTATTTGTGTCGACACCCAAACAAACAAACGGTTAACCCATGTTTAGACGGATATTTTTTTTTGGTCATCACTTACCGTATGGTCATCACTAACCAATTACCAATAGGTTAAGGTTAGCACAGTTAGGTTTTTTTTAAACACTATAACTTGATTTAAACTTAAAGCCCAAACTTTAAATCATAAAATATACTGTATATTAATAATAAATAAAACTACAAAATATTATTTTACAATCATCATCATTATATATATATCAGGATTAAGTAAGGGAGGGGGTAGGGAGGGGTAAGGTCAAAATACCCCCATAAGATCGAGATTTTGGGATTTTACCCCCCCAGACTTTTTGACCGATTGGGAAAAATTGTCGCTTAAAAACGAGAAGAAATGTCCCCCCCTCTAAAATTTCGGCGCCGAAGGCGCCGAAAATTTTTTGAAGTTTTAAAAAATTCTAATTTTAGTTTTTTTTTACTGTTTTTATGTTTTTAAAATTTATATGAATATAATTATTGATTAAAAATAAGTAAAATAGTTAAAATAACATTAAAACTCATCTAAAAATAACATTAATTTATTGAAAATATTAAACTAAAAAATTAAAAATTACTTATTTGTTGAAAAGAGTAATCATATTACAACTTAAATAGATATTTAAGATAGTTTAAGAAGTTAGTAAAACAATAAATTCTTATATTTTAAAGTTTTTATTAATAATTTTTAAAAATTTAACTAAAAAATTAAAAATATTTTCAATTTTATAATTAGTATTCAGTCAGCATTCATATAAAAATAACATTAACATTAAAAATAAAAATATATATATATCTATAAACTATAATCATTAAGTATTATTTTAAAAATTAATTATTTTAAAACTTAAAAATTACTAAAATATTTTTAAAAAATCATAGTGTATCATTAATGCTTTTATCAAATATTTTTAAGTATTAAATACATTATTATTTTATTTTTTATTTTTATTAATTTTAAAATTTTTTTTAAATATTTTATTTTTGTTAAAATTTAAGTTTTTGTTAATTTTTAAGTTTTTTTTGTATTTTTGGAAATTTTACCTATTTTCCTGGGAATTTATACGGGAACTTATGGGAACTTTATCAAATTTACATGGGAATATTCGGGAATTTAAGGGAATATTAGGGAATTTTCTCTTGACCCCCCCCCCTTGATTTTGGATTTTTGAAAAAATTGCCGTTTAAAAATGCAATAAAAATCTTACCCCACCCAATACCCCCCCCCCCCCCCCAAGATTTTTCGAGAATTTTTTAAATTTTACCCCGGTCTACCCCCCCTTAAAATCCAAAACCTTGCTTAACCCTGATATATATATATATATACTGTAGAAATGATATAAATTGTTAAAGTTATTTATTTATTCAAAACTTCTTTTATTATTTTTAATTCAGATATTATTATTATTATATATATATCGATATATATATATATTAATTATTTGAATAATAAACGATTTCATCATACAAATCAATTTTTTTGTGATATTAAATGCAATAATAATAATAATAATACTGTAATTATTATTATGCAATTAGTTTTGTTTGATAATATTTATATTTTTTTTTGTAAATAAATAAACAGTATTGTAATATTTAATAAAAAATAATATATAATAATTCAAAAGTTAATTGATTTATCAATTATTTAAAAAAAAAATATTATTTAAATATCTAAAAATAATGCTACATTATTCAGGTATTATATAATCAATTTATATAATATATTCAATATATCTTATCGTTTAATATGTTTGACAACAAACTTCATTGGACTGGTCAGACCCGGTATGGGTAACATTGATAGCCGGCGCTTGTAGTCACCATCATTGCCGTCATCACCACTACCATAACCTACTGATCGTTTGAACCCAGTTATCATTTGGACAGCCATACGGCGTAACTCCTGGCCCCGACGGGTATTGAGCATCGGATGTACGGTCAACAATAGTATGACCATGGTAGCCGATCGTAGTACCAGAAACAATACTACCAGCATATTGGTATTGAAATAGTAATCCGGATCATCCAAATCAAACATATACAAAATATAGGAAAACTGTTGGCCGGTTAGGCAACGATCGAAACCATAGAAATGTATAATCAGGGACTCGAAGGTTAGTTTCAATGGATTCAAATTACTGATAGTCCTGATTGAATAGTGTAGTTCAGTTAACGGTATGAAAAAATTACAAAACAATATGTATAGTATGAATACGGCGACACTGGTAAATACAGCCACCCGATGGTGGCCCATAAATGTTAGGCCAACTATATGGCCAACTGATTGGATGGTCAGACCGCCGAGTAATAGATAGACGACCAGTGCTACGACCATATTGCTATTGACTGATGAGTATATGTTTACGGCCATTGAAAATACAATTATAATTATGATGGACGGTATGATTTCGACTACTGTATGGGCCCAGTAGTAGGTGCCGGCACTGTACCAGCCTATATGTGTAAAGTATACATTATTTCCTATATATATTTATATTTATACATTATATTAATAGACAGATATTTCATATAATAATATAATTATGATTTATATTGTTAGATAAATATATATTGATTAATTATAATTTTTTCTAATACCTGTATATTGTAATTGTATATATAAAACTTTATTATTATTATTATTATTGATATTTAACCTTAATTTAAAAAAAACTGTAAAGCCATATAATTGTAATAAAAAATAGTATTTATAAATATTAGACTATTATACATATGTATATCAATAGTAAACTATCTTAATTTATAATTAATAATAATTTATAAAATTAAAATTATTTTTTAAAAAAATTCTTTATAATTAAAATTTAGATTTTAAACATTATTATTGAGATTTAGACTAAATCAAAAATTATATAATTACTTATTTTATGACATTATTAAAACAAAATTAAAAAAAAATAGTTAATAAAAATATTATTATTATTACTAAATAATTAACTAATAAATTAATCAGAAATAAAAACAATCAAAAAATAAAGTTTTTTAATTACCATTTCGGTGTTCATTGAAAAATATAATAAAATCTGCCGAATAGTTAAATGTCGTCAAAATTATATTGTAAACCATTGTCAATATTGTGACAAATAACAAGTATTTTGTATTATCCATAACCCGATCCTCATCCCGGAGCTGACGTTCAGTTTTGGCACAAGTATTGTTCAGATCATCCGTTTCCCAATTGGCACAACCGTTGGCCAGTGCTATGTCTGGACTGAATACTAAACGCAAAATTAGGGCAACTATTAGATAGACTGTCAGTTCCATCGCAAGAAACATCCAGTGATAGGCAAACAAATAGTTTAGGTTACGGGCAATGAGAACCCGTAGGTCAGCTAATAGGAAACGTTTACTTTGCAATCGTATACCGTCGCCGGTCAACATCAATTCCCCAGTACTGCGGGCATCAATTTGTTTGCGTTCCGAAGCTCGCGTACGACTGGTCAATCGTTTGACTACCTGATCATCACCCGGTCGGCCGAGACAACAATGGCCGAGTAGTGTCTCAATTGGTAGCTGTTGTGGCTGACAATCGGCTTCTACTTCGGCTAAAGTTTGCTTCAATTGATCTCCGGGTCGGTCGGCGTAGACTACTTGACCGCCGGCGGCCATTACATACAACTTGTCGAACAACATCAGTATTTCGTTACTCGGCTGATGTATGGAAGCAATGGCACAGATCTGATGCCGACGGCTGAGTAGTTGTATACACTGTATGACAGTTTCGGCGGCCGAACTGTCCAGACCGCTGGTTGGTTCGTCAATACACAAGAGATTAGGTTTGACCGACGATACCAATTCCATACCAATAACCAATCGTTTGAGTTCACCGCCACTCAAGCGATCGATCGGTGTGTCCAATGTGTTATAGATGGACAGCTCGAGCATCAGCGACAAGACTATCATTTCGTGTTGCGATCCGTCCCGGATGTCCGGGTTTTTCAACCGGGATGCATAGGTCATGGCCTGACGGGCCGTCAATCCCCGTACCATACGTTCGCGTTCGTCCTGAACAATATAACACGGTCTCAGACGCCGACTGTTGCTTACGTAGATCGACGACTCAGGGGTCAGGTTTTCACTGTATAGTCCGTTAATGCACTTCAACAACGATGTCTTTCCCGCACCCGACGGTCCCATCAGTGCATTGAGCGATGGAAACTCAAAATAACCGTTTAGTTGGCGAAGAATTGTCTTATCCGTCGACGACGACAACCTGAACAACGATTCGCTGACCGTCAGTGTCAGGTCTGTCCACGCAATAGCCATCACTGTTTCTGTTGTCGGCTGATTCTGTCCTTGACATTCGGTAACTGCTGACTGGACATCGCTGCTGTTCGGATCTTCACTGATATCGCTGGCCATTATTGCTATCTCCGACTTTGCCAGCGATATGATTGAAGACATCCGACGTTTTTTTTTCGCCGTCTTTCGGCTACTACTACTATAGTCCGCGACATCCATATCCATCACAACCGACACATCCGATACACTATCGCTGTCATTGTTATCCATGTTAACTACTTTTTCGGTTATTTTTGATAATTTTGATTTTTGATCGCTAAAATTGCTGGCCATTGCTATCAACGACATACGGCGTTTCGGTGTCGACAGTCTGCGACTATAGTCGACATCCATGTCCATCACTACAGACTTTTCTGATAAACTATTGGTGTCATTGTCCTCATCTTCCTTATCGCTTACCGATATGTTTAGTTTGCTATTATTATCTACCGATTTGCTGCTATCGATGTCACCGCCGCCGGATGTCCTACTATTCAGACAACCAATCCGATTGGTCAGATTTGTCTTCGCCAATAGCAATACGAAAGCTGTTAACTTGAATACTACGGCCGTCACAGCCAACCCATAGACATATTGGACCAGTTGGTCGTCGCCGCCGCCGATATCACTAACGGCAAACCTGCGCAATACTATCGATCTTAACGGTTTCGGACATCTGTCCAGACCGTAGACGGCCAACAAGTGGCCGTTTAGTTGATATTTCAAATAGACAAAATCGCTCAGTTGGCGAAACATTGGCGGCAAACGGCCAACAATTATATAGAAATTGCTAAACAAAGTAAGAGTTGTATAGAATAAGATGGAGCCGATTGTAGCCAACTGGCCGTAGTTGACCAGTGCTATACCAATACAATGGGCCAGTCCTTCCGAACAAAGAAAGCCGCCGATCATTATGCCGACAAACCATAGGAGACGGTCGGGCGGATCAAGTGATTGGCCGCTTAATAGATAGACAAGTGTGGCGTATTCGGTGGCCATTAGTACAGTCATAAAGGTTTCGGTTAATGATTTACCCCAAAAATAGGCACCCGTACTATACCAGCCTATTATATCATATAATATTTTATATTAATAATATAATACAAGTAAATACTTAATATTTTTTTTCTAATTAACTATTTAGTTGTAAATAATTTGTTTTTCAAAAAAAAAAATTAAATAATACTAACTGTTATGATGTTCGCTAATAAATATTTTAATGTCAACCAAATAGACCTGACATGTAGAGGACATGTGTATAAACTGGGCTATAATACCGGAAAAAAACAATAGATTCGGATTCTGGAAAATAAGCGAATCGTTTTCCAATGCCTCCACACATGTCGTACCATTAGATAGGGCTATACTAATGGGATCGTAACAGGAGTCAGGTTTGCCAACATTTTCGTTAAACATCGACACCATTATCAGTGAGAATAGGTTATAGATGGCAAACTGTACGGCCAATTGTTGCCATTGTGCCAGAAATATCATATAAGCTGTTCGATGCATAACATGCCAGACATCCCACAATCGGAACCTTTTCGGTCGCAATTCAATACCGTTAGGACTTTCCAGTAAATCGGACTGATTTTGCTGGACAGTACTCAACACCGATAGTCTAGATGTTTCCCTAGTTTTATCTAACAGTTCGCCAATATATTCCTCCTGTGACAGTTCAATTGATGCTAATTTTAACAATTGCTCTACCGGCACCTGTACCAAATCGCATATAATGTTGCACTCATCCAGATAACTGTCCACCCGTTCAGGTGGTCCATCGAAAATACAGTTCCCACCTTTGGCCAGAACATAGAGTTTATCAAACGAGTAGACAATCTCGTTATTGGGCTGATGTATACTAGTAATGATGGCTATCCTATGCAGTCTACCTATACTTTTCAAACACTCCATTACCTGATTTTTTTCGAAAAAAATAAATAAATTGCATATAACAAAAATTACATTTGAAAAAACATTTTAATAATATAATTTTTTATAATATCAATAAAAAAAATAATAATATACATACGGCACAGGCAGTCACACTGTCGAGACCAGTGGTAGGTTCATCAATACATAAGACATTAGGCTTAACCAATTTGGTCATTTCGACGGCAATAGTTAACCGTTTTTGTTGGCCACCTGAACACTTGGCAACTATTGTATTGGCGATACCATCTATGGTCAGCTCACGGAGCACTTGTCGCACATTTTCTTCATGATCTATAGGTTGTCCTCCATCTCCTCCAGTGTTCTTCAATTTGGACGCATATAACATATTCTGACGGACAGTCAAACACATAATCAGGTGTTCCCGGGCGTGTTGGCCAACAAAACACGATTCAATTGGCTGCCGACGGCTCAGATATATCCTCGAGTCGGCCGATAGTCCACCCATTGATAGCCTTCCGTTTAGACATTTCAATAGTGTTGTTTTGCCGGCACCTGAAGGTCCCATTAGGGCTACAATACTACCGAATTCGGCCGAACCGTACAGTTGATTGAGTATTGTTTTTCCGCTGGACTACTGGTGCACATTTGCCACCGGTTCCTGACTGTGTAGGTCAGGTTTGACCAACAAATGGCCACATCTGATGTCGACATAATTATTATAATTAGTATTATTAGTATTAGCTGTTCAACAATAGTTTCATTAATATATACAGTAATTATATAGAAATTATGGTTTAATAAATAAATAATTTAATAATAATTTCATAATTTTCTTATAAAGTTTATAAAATAATATAAAGCTTATATATACTGTTATATAATACACACCCACCATTTAAACACACACACACACACACACACTCACATACATACATACACACTATTTTTATTTATTTGATAACCTTCATAATTTATACAATAAAATCTATTTAAAAAAATATGTATATACAATAATTAAATATTTTAATTTATTTTATTATAAAATATTTATATTTTGCATATGTTTTAAAAAATATATATATTTATATATCATTTTTATATTATTTAATTTGTTTTTTTTTGTTTATATGATAATAAGTCAAGTGAGTAAGTCATAAATTTTTGTATTTTATTTATTTTTTTCTTAAAAATATTTTGGTACGAATAATTAATTATTACAACATCTATAACTTTTGTAGTTATTTAGTTTTTATGCATAATTAGTTAGTAATCAATGTTATTTAAATCACTATATATATAAAAAAAATACTAATAAATTTTTAAAAATGCACCTAAAAATTAATATTCATAACATTATACAGTAGTAATACACCGGTATATAGTGTATGTAAAAACTATTTTAGGTGCAAAACTTTATTTTAATTGCAAAACTTAAAAATTTATTAGATTTTTAAAAAAAATATTAATTTGAATAATTTAATTATATATTGAAAAACGATAAATATCTAAGTTTTTTTTGCTAAAAAGTTAGTAAATTATTCAGATTAATATTTTTATTTATTTATTTATTGTTTAATTCATTAAATATATATATATATATATATTTGTTTTATATAAAAAACATTATCTAACAATTTAATTGCAACTAAAAATTATGATTTTGCAATCAAATTATATAGAAAATAATTAAATATTTAATAAACTATAATTATTATTTATGCATAAATCATATTTTTTAAAAACTGTAAAATTTAAAAGTGCGAAACATATTTTTTAAATTAATTAATAAAACAATTATATTTTTTTTTGTTTAGCAATTTATTAGTTGATTTATATATCAACTAAAAAAGAAAAAAAAATTATTATTATTTTATAATTATATTTACTATTATATTAGACAACAATAACAACAACAACACAAAAAAAAATTTGCTAATAACTTACATAGTATACTAAATTGAAGGTTATTTTTTTTATTTCCCCAATAGTTTCCTAGTATTTCCACCAAAAATATATATATATATATATAAAATATTTTATCATATTTTTTTCTGGATAAAATTGATTGGGATTTTATTTTAGGGAACTTTCCCTACAATGAGATACTATTTTTCTACCAGAATTTTTTTTGATAAATATATTTTTAACACTATATTATAATATAAAAATATGTTTTAATTTTTAAAATAAACAAAAAATCACATATATCATTTTTTATTTACTGTTTACAGTAAACCAACCGTAAAAAAATTAATTAGTTAAAAAAAACTTAAAAAAACATATTTATAAAAACAAAAATTGAATCCATTAAAAAAATAAGTTACACACAAAAAAAATGTTTATTTATTTGAAAGTATAATCAAATGAAAAAATAAAATTAATTATTAATAAATAATAATAATAATGTAATTATTTTTGTTTGCTACCATAACCCATCCCCCACTACCCCACCCTTTTCATATAATCATATACCGGTCACAGACACCGCTTACTCGAAATATACCGCCGGGCATATAGAGTAATGCCCGAACAAATTCAATGCCATCGGGACTTAGCGATGATAACCGTTGGCCACCATCACTACCAGTGCCACCATTGCAGTCCCTCTCATCATCAACAGTGCAATCGCCAGTGTTGTCGTTGTTGTCGGCATGACGTCCGACAGCTGTCCAGTCGTAGACCAGTTGTATGATTTGTTTGTCCAATTGTTCGATATGTTTGCCGACAATCATCTGAGCCATAGGTATCGTACACTTGCGTTCAATGGCAATCATAGCCACAATGTTAGACAACTGTTTCAATGCCTCCCATTCTATATGCTTATCATTGTTGGTCAATGATTGTATAGTAATGCCGGTGCCGATGCCGTTCCTGATGTTGGTGTCGCAGACATTGCCATTAGTGGTAGTAGTAGTAGTAGTAGTAGTAGTAGTAGTAGTAGTAGTTTTCGTTGTCTTCAATATTGTCTTAATACTATTTATTAACTCTTTTTCAAACGAAAATATATCGTTTGTATACATACAGTAATCGACAACTAATGAGACCAACTGTTTCATACGTGGATCAGACCATTCGCGCTCCGTTAGGTCTATATCGAGGCCATAGGTAACAGACAATAGTGTCGGTTTTAAGCCAATTGTTTTGCGGCGAACCTATTTATATATATGACAAACAAACAAAAAAATCATATTAAAACACTAGATCTAACTACACAAATATATACACACATACACTCACAGACATACATACATCTACACACACATACACTCACAGACATACATCTACACACACATACATCTACACACACATACATCTACACACACATACACTCACAGACATACATCTACACACACATACATCTACACACACATACATCTACACACACATACACTCACAGACATACATCTACACACACATACATCTACACACACATACATCTACACACACATACATCTACACACACATACACTCACACACATACACTCACAGACATACATCTACACACACATACATCTACACACACATACATCTACACACACATACATCTACACACACATACATCTACACACACATACATCTACACACACATACATCTACACACACATACATCTACACACACATACATCTACACACACATACATCTATACACACACACCCGGCATACTCTACCTGTAGTTTTTCCTCTAATGAAGTAAACCGACCGCCGTTTTTGCGAAGAATTTCCGTTTCCTCGAGGTTTGCGGCGGCAAACTCTAGTCTTGCGCCGACAAATCGTTTCCACTGTTCGGCACTCATTTGCCGAGAAAATGCCTCAAATGTCGGTATAATAGCCCGAATATACGGCTCCATCTGATCGACTGGCAATGTGTTTGGGTTTGATTGGTCGTCATTGGCCACTGCAAACATACTGATATGTTGTGTCCAAGCCTCACGGCATTTGTCCATATGTTGGCCGTTATGTTGACCCCACGATTCTTCGGTATTGTCGTCCATAATAAATATAAAGATCATATCCTGCAACATATGATAGTAACATTCCTCAGAGGTTATGGTCGGATAGAAAAAGGCCATCAATATTGTCGAAACTGTTACTACATTTTTATAGTTTTTGGCCGATATCTGACTCGTCGGGAACTGTTTGTATGACCATTCGGCCAGTATCTCGGCATCGATAGTTAGGTCCAATGGATTGCGTTTGAATGGCAATTGTGTTATAAGCTTTGGTACCGGATATTTCAGGGGATATTGACGTAACTTTTTGTCGCATATATTGTGTGCCGAAAATCTTATCTTATTATTATTATTGCTTTTAGACATTATTATAATAATTATTAGTAGTTTTAGCAACAAATAAAACTAAAATATAACTTAAACAATATATAATAATAACAATAATAAGTATAGTGTAAATTAAAAATGAAAAAAGTTAGACTAACTTATCTGAATGTATGTATAAGTATTAAATATATAATTTCATTTATGATATACCAGTATATGTCTAGTGCACAGTGTATTAGCCAATCTAGTAATATAATGTTTGTGTGTTTTGTAAAAAAATTATATATTTATATATAAGGTTTCCATCAAATTTTCTACTTAATTCCCAAAAGTTTTTTTTTATACTTCCCAATCGATTTTCCAGTTATTTTGCAATTATTAAATTTAATACATTATTTTGAAACAAGACATTTGTGTTTTTTATAATGTTTATATAATTTTTTGTTTTTGTTGATATTTTAATCAATACTTTTACAATAGATTTTTAAAAATATAAAAATGTTTTGTAATTAATGTATTTTTTAAATATATAAAATAGTTATAATTAAATTATTGAAATGTAAATTAGTTTTGAATTATTGTAATAATAATAATAATATAAAACTAATCATTCAATATTATAATCTAACGATAAATAATAAATAAATAAATAAAATATTTTCTCATATATTCATTTTCGGGATTAAATTTGGGAACTTTCCTTCTATAAAAAGTTTTTCTCCAAACTTTAGATTTTATTACATATACATAATATTAAATAAATTAAAGTTATCAAAAAAACATGTGATTTTATTTTACTGTTTTAATTGATTGCATTCAAACGGAATACAGAATTTAATTTCAAATAAAAAATATTTAAAGACATATTTCAACATATCATAGAATTTAATATTTTTTTTAATTTCAACACATATTTTAACATTTTTTTCAATAAAAAAATTCCAGAAATAATATTTAGATTAATTACTAAATTAAAAAAACTAATTAAATTGTTATATTATATTTGCATTTTAAGTTTTTTTATATAATTCAAAGAACAAAGTGAACATTACTTTAAAAAAATAGAAATTTTACAATAATTTTATAACTATTGATATACAGTATATTCTTTTAATATAATAAATAATAATATAATTTTTTATGTTTAATGTGTGTGAAAAAGTTAATTATATATAATATCAATATAATATAATTTATAATATTTTTTTAAATGTAATATTAGATCAATAAAATAAGTTCATTTAAGTTTTTTGTAAAAGTATTTAAACTAATAATTAGCTAATGATTAGCTAATAATTTTTTTATTTAGTTGATGACGTTATTTAATTTAATTTTATGCATTTTAATATACACTAAAAAATTTTAATTATTATTACTATGAGATAAACATTGAAACTGAATGTTAAAAAATGATAAAATCTATAATAATAATAATAATTTTTAGTCATAAATAGATTATTTAAATAAAATAATTTGTTTTAATGTTAAAAATATTTGAAGCAAAAACATACACACATACACATGCATATATATACACACATATATACAGTATATATATATATATATATATATATATATATATATATATATATATATATATATATATATATATACACACACACATAATAATAATAATATTAAAAATAATAAAGTTTATAGTTTTTTATATATTATATATTGCTTTACAACTAATAATAACTTTTAGATTTATTTCAAATCTATTTTCATATACATATGGTGTTAAGATTATGAAATATTTATTTTATATTAATAGTTAAAATATTTAGTTAAATGATTGATTACTCATTTAATTAAAAAAAAAATCTTCAATCGGTATGTAATATAACTACAATCTACCTATAATTTAGGTTAATTGATGACGTTAATTGAAAAAAAATAATTTATATATATATATGTAATATAAATATTTTTACATATTTGTAATTTAAAAAAAAGTATTATTACTATGTAATATGCATTGAAATTTAATCTTAAAAAAAACTATATATATAATATTATAAATTATAGGTTAGATATTTTTTTCAGTCAAGAAATAAATTATTTAAATTTTTTTCATTGAGCAGTCATTTAAATAAAATTATTTTTTAAACCAAAAAAAATATTAAAACTTATTATAAGATACACAAAATATAAGTACATATAAACAAAAAATACTGTAATAATCACAAATATAACAGAGATTACACAATACAGTGTTTATTATAGCAATTAAAAAATTAAAGTTATTATCAATAAATAAATATTAAATAATTTTTATTCATTGATATACAGTATAGACTTATTTAAATACAGTACTAATAATAATATTGTATTTGTGTCGACATCAAAACAAAACAAAAAAACGGTTAACCCATGTTTAGACAGATATTTTTTGGGTCATCACTTACCGTATGGTCACTCACCAATTACCAAAAAGACAAGGTTAGCACAGTTAGGTTTTTTAACCTGTATAGTCTCATTGTTTAGATTTTTTAAACACTTGATTTAAAATTAAAGCCCAAACTTTAAATCACAAAATAAATATATATTAATAATAAATAAAACTACAAACAAAAAGTTATTATACAATCATCATTATATACAGTATATACTGTAGATATGTTATAAATTTTATAATTAATAATATATTGTTAAAGTTATTTATTTATTCAAAAAACTTTTTTTTTATATATATATTACTATTTGCACTAAAAAATGCACTGATTCATTTATTTAATATTAAAATTCATAAATTAATAAAAAAAATATTTAATTATCATTATAAAAAATAATTTAATTATCAAATAAAAAAATATTTAATTATCAAATCAAAAATTATTATTATTATTATTAAACATATGCTGTGGGAAAAAAACATATTAAACATTTAGTGGTAAAAAATAGCTAGTAAAAAAATTTACAATATTATGGCTAACATTGTATTGCCCATTTATAGGCCCATAGGGGGTGGGTGGTTGGGTGGGGGTAACTGAGCAAATTCATGGATGTCAGTCAATTAAATTGTTATATTAATAAATAATGTATGATATAAATAAATTATGTAATATTATAGAGATTTTTTTAAAAATTTAAAAAACAATAATTATTTATTTTTAAAGCATACAATTTAATCAATTTATATACCAATTATTGTGTTTTAAACAATTATACACATCATTAGTTTAGATAATTTATTCAATATTATAATTATAAATAGTCCAGTAGATCCTATTTTTAAATATTAAATTTATCTGTATAAATAACAATAAATATAATAGTACCATGATAATAAATTGGCATCCATAAATAGCTTTAAGTGTAGCCAAAAAAAACATTTTTGACCAGTAACTAGTAGTGTCATTGTCATTAATATCGTTGATTAGTTTATTATAAATACATGAAATATTTGTTGAAATAATTTTAATAATTTTAGATTTATTACTAATATCAATAATACTATCAGATTTTTTTGTTATATATTTTTTTGAAATAAATTAATGCCCTGGGTAGAATCTAAAAGCTAGAATCTAGGGGTTATCATATATTATACGATCCCTTATTTAAAAAAAACGTAATTAACTACCAAGATAAAAAACAAAATAAAAAACAGTTTATAATACATAAATTCAAAAAATCATTTTTATATAATAGGAAATTAAATATACTATTTAATTTAAAATAAATTCCTAGCTGTCTATTTGAGCAAGATCAAATAATTTTTTTTATATAAACCATAAGCTTCCTAAGTGCATTTTAATCAAAAAATAATCAAAAATCAATTAAATGATAACCCTCTCAAATAGATATATTGTTATAAATTTTAAAAAACCTAATAGATACAAAAACTATTTATACGTTAAATTAGCTAGTTGAAATAATAACCATGTCCGATTAAAACAATTTTTAATAATAAAATAACTGTGTGATTTAACGTCCAGACTAGTAGGTGTACGCCCACCGGCCATCCATATCAAAAAACATCTCTAGACGAACGTGGTTTCGATTCCCTGCTAAGTATATGACATTTTTTTGTATTAACATTATTAACATCGAAAATTATAAACTGAGCTTGGCCAAAATAACCAACAACAACAACAACAAACAAACAAAAATATAATCATTGTATCGGATAAACATTTTTATAGTGGTGTGTTGGCCATCATATATAGTTAATGTATAGTATAGTATTGATATTACTGTATTGCTATAAATATATATATATATATATATATATGAATATACTGTTTATGAAAATTTAATTTAAAAAAAAATTATAGTCATTATTAATTATTAAATAGTCTAGTATTTTAAATGAAATCAATTTTATTAATTTAAAAAAATAATTTTAAATATATAAATCTAGTTTAATATATAAATAAAGTTTATAAATAAAATATATAGATATTATATATATTTATTTAAAAAAAGTATTTTATTTAATATGAATTGAAATATTGTTTAAGATTTTTTTATAGACAGAAATATATATAAATAGTATATTTTTTCCACTAATAATTAATTTGATATTATAATAATAAAATATATTTATTTTATGTGACTTATCTCTATAAATTTCTTTAGAAAATTTTATTTTATTCATATTAATATTTTAAACTATATATATATATATATATATATATATATATATATATATATATATATATATATTTATAAATTATAATATTTATGCCCAAAAAACTAATTTATAATTAGCATATATAATATATATATGATTTATAAAAATTAAAATAATGACTTTTTATATTTGCAGTTAAATGTAATATATTTTGTTTTTTTTGAAAAAAATATATTTATTTTTTGTGACTTATAACTATTAATTTCCTTGGAAATATTTATTTTATTTTATTCATATTAATATTTTAAACTATAAATATATATATTTTTATAAATTATAATATTTATGTCTAAAAAACTAATTTTATTTTTAGCATATATAGATGATTTATAAAATTAAAATAATTACTTTTTATATTTGCAATTAGAATGTACTATATTTGTGTATAATTATTATTATTTGTATACAAAAATATGCACAATATTTTAATATAATTATTATAAACATATAATATAATTAAATAAGTTTGCAATTTATTTATAATTATCATTTATTTTCAAATAGCAATTACTAAACAAATTTATTGAATTATATACAGATTATTATACAATAATAATGTAATATTATTTTTACAAATATTTGTTTGAGTTA